ATGTGTACATCTATCCCATCGATGGGGGGAGAAGGAGGGGATGTTACTGGGAGGAATGGCAGCTAGTATAATATAAGTAATAATGTAATAGTTAATACTTTATACTCGTTTTTTTCGAAATAGTATTTTTCAAATTTGCTGACACTATAACTCAAAGATCAAATATCCGATTGACTTGAAATTTTAACACAGCGTTCTAGACGTGCTTTATTGTTGAATGACGTAGAATATTCTTGATTGGATGTAAACTGTAATTTTGGCAACGAAAAAACGAAAATTTTTGTAAGGAAAGGTCGAAAAATTTCTTAGAAACTCCGCCATTTTGTCAGATTTCAACATTTCTCGGATATCCTACGTCATTAAACGGAGAATACTTTCTAGTTTAAGATCGTCTTTGTCTTTTTTCATTTTAGACACCCTAGCGAACTGTATGATATCAGCAATTGAGGCACTTCTTTTGGCGTCTCGGGAGATAGAGCATAACTTGATCGTCTTTAATTATTTTTGCACAAAAAAATTATTTTACACAGTTCATTTATAGTCAAATACATACATAAAATTTAACCAAATTCCATAGAATAATTTCTTAAAAAAAATTCCCAAAAATGACCTAAATTTTAGGCAGGTTACACTTGGAAGGCCCCTTAATATACAGGGTGGGTTCTTTTATTCCATCAGCCGAAACAATAAAAAATATCTGATTCTATTTAAAGAAAAGATTAATGACCTTCATATGTCCTTTACACGTCCACCCACAAAAAAAAGTACCATCAGAATGTGCCCCTCTCAAAACCATTCCACTTCATCTGAAACATTGTTTGCTATGCTTAATAATAAACCTAGATAGGAAAATGTAACGACCCACCCTATATAATCTGGAGATTTTATTAGAAAATTTTATATATTTTCTTGTTAACAGAACATGAAATACAGTCATCCAAAATATCGACCAAACTGGTACTAAAGACCGGTCAATTACACACTGAACATGCATGCAAATACGTTCTCCACACGAACATAATAGAAATAAATCAGTACGTCGATATTTATTCTCCCTTCTAGCCTCATCATATACCCCGTAAAAATGTATCTTAGAACTCTGATAAAAAAATTTAATTTATGCAGGCGTCCAAACGAGCCACGCATACCAAAAGAAACTACGTCGATTCGTCAACGAGATAAGATCGAAATTGCAGTGGTCTCGCGTGAACAAAAGCGAAAATTTGTAAATCAAGTATATTACTCATTATCTACGATCTAACGGCGATTCAGGCCGAGTTCATGTGAAATTATTCTTATCAAAGATCTCGGCACCCTGGCAACCGGCCCTCATCGCTTTAACCGCGAGTCGTTTAATCGTTATCGACGTTAAAATGGTTATCAATTAAATTTAATTAAATTCGTAAGCTACACGTGACGATCTCTCACTCTATTGCTTACTCTGGCCTCCTCCGTGGTTTCCGTCATCTCGACGAGTCTTCGACGTCGTTTCGTGCCTCCAAGTCCTTACGCAGTCCCCGTCGTAATGCGACATTAACTCTGTTACCCAGTCTCTCTAACAATCATTCTCCATCTCTCTCTCTCGTTCGCAACCCCTTATGTTTCCACCATCCCCCACGGTATTTAACATAATGACTCATTATCATAAAAAACAATATGAGAACGCGCCACATTCTTGCCGCATTCCCCGTGACAAGAAAGCTGTTCCGAGTAATGGACGAGGAATTTCAAATGAAAGAGGGTAGCTTATCGAGCGAGGGGTCATTATCGTGATAAGGAAAGGAGGGTCTGGCACGTTGCAGCTAAGGAACAAAAAGTGCCCGACGTGCATCGACCCGCGAATAGGGGATGAAAGTACTAATCGATTTGCACAGAGGTAGTTAGTTGTAGGTATTTATTATACAAAATACATAAAGATAAATAATATTAAAAATATGTAATACTTGCAATTTGTCATATATAAATCTTAAACAAGCTTTCATAATTCGATTTCATGTCATTTTATTAATATTCTTTGATGTATTCAAGTGTATACAGGGTGTTCCAAAACTAGTGTAAGGTGAAATGGGAGGTTCCTGACATAATTTTAAACAACATTTTCCTTAGCGGAAAAGTTGTCCGAGGCGTGGTTGAGGAGTTATTAACATTAGATTGCCCAAGGAAGTCATTTTGCCAATTTTTGGGCAAATGTACAAATAATAATGCATAAATTATTTTTTTTCCCAAGTGAAGTAAATTTTTTGTATTGTTAACATTTACTAAT